CAAAGGAGGGCGGGGGGAGGAGGGGAGGAGCAGTGGAGAAACTTAGGAGGATGAGTGGCGGAGGGGGTACGGGTAAGCTGAGGAGAAGGGGCGGATAAGCGGAGGAGGCACAGAGAGGCCCAGGAAGGGCGCAGGAGGGGCCGAGGAGGAGAGGAGTGGAGGAGGAGGAGCTGAGGAGGTGGTGAGGTGGCAGGGAGGACGGCCGAGAAGGAGCGGAGGGGGGAGTGGAGGAGCGAAGGGGGGACAGAGTAGCAGAGGGGGAGCAGCGGAGTAGTGGAGCAGCGGTGCAGCAGAGGAGGCGCTGAGGATGAGTGGGGAGAAGGGGCAGATGCGCGGAGGACGAGCAGAGGAGGACCATTGGAGGAGGATGAGCGGGTGAGAGGGACGGAGGCGCGGAGGATGAGCGAAGGAGGTGAGGCCGAGGCGAAGAAAACTTGTAGAGGGGGTGAGGAGGATGAGAGGATGAGGAGAGGCGGAGGCGCAGAGGAGCTGCGAGGAGGAGTGGGAGAGGAGGGGCGAGGAGCAGGGGAGGAGCAGTGGAATAGGAGCGAACGATGAGCGAAGGAGGGGAGGAGGGGCGGGGGAACGGAGGAAAGGCGGCTGCTCCTGCAGTCTGGGGGGGGGGGGGGGGGGTGTAGTGATGCCACTAACCTGAGTCTCCCATCTTGGAGCGGTGGCCAACACTGCCCAGAGATCACACAGGCCCACCACAGCTCATTGCTAACCGCAGTCGCGGCCGAGAGAGAGAGAGAGAGAGAGAGAGAGAGAGAGAGAGAGAGAGAGAGAGAGAGAGAGAGAGAGTTATCGTGTTTGCTATACACAACTCCACAAAATGCACAACTCAGCCGGACTGTTTCGTCGGAGATTCACCGACTCATCAGGAGGTTGAACCCCGACAGTCCGCCCAGAAGAAAGTGGTCAACCATTAGTCCAAAGAGGGTGTGCGTGTGTGTGATGCCATGTTCGCCATACAACTCCACAGACATTGAGCTCGGACTGTGTGTGTGTGTGGTTGACGGCCGACAGCGTGTGTGTGTGAGAGAGGCAGAGAGTCGAGCGCAGTGGAGGGCGATCCATGACACGGCAGAAGCCGTACCCAACACGAACAACAACAGCTCATAAACCCTGGGCGCAAAGTTGGACAAAAAACAGTGCCGATTGAAAGGGCCCGTTGCAACGGACAAAGGCTGCGTGAGGTATCCAGAGTTGCCTGCTATCTCGGCCGTTGGGCCCGAGGTACCGCGCCAACAGCCTAGATTCAGGCACTGTCTTAAGGTCTTAAGACTGCATCAATCCAGGCTGTCGGTCCCGCAGCACCCAACGGCCCAGATCGCAGATTTGTTACATTTCTTCGACGATCTGGGCCGTCAGTCTGGTATGACCACGACAGCCCGGATTTCAGATTTGTGACGCCAGCCATTTTAATAGTGTAGGGACAACGAAAGCCCTTGASTTGAGACAATCCAACAATGAAACAGTTTCACCTCTATAACAAGCAACATAAAGTACAATAGAGGCATGTAAACCCCTTTCTTGATTGTGGTCACGTTGCTTTCTTTGGGGTTGTGTGCTTTGCCATGCTCCCTGTACACAACTCCAGAGTAAACTCCAGAAAAAAAACAGTGTTTCATCGAACTTTTTCACTGCCTCATGTGTGGTGGGGGGAAGGGGAACAACCATAATTCATCGTTTAGACAAGAAGTCCATAATACCTTTCTCGGGCTTTTAGCTAAGATCAAGTGCAGTATCTGTGTTCTGATCAGTTTAATATCTGTTCCGTGGTTAACCGGGCCACATAGATACTATAGACAAGAACTCCATATCCTGAATTTAAAGCAGAATTGAAATTCAGCTGCAAGTTTTTTTGTTCGTCATGTGTCTTCAGCAGAAGATACTATAATGAAAGTGCAAAGTCCGCCACATCGGCTCACCCAAAGATAACCCAACATTGCCAGTTGGGTGAGGGGAGAGGATCAAGAGAAAACAATAAGAACGATGAAGCCACATGAGGAGAAGAGGAGAGGAAGCTCACCATCTTCTGGTAGAAACGCCTGCGCTCCTCTGCACGCACTTTTGCAGCTGCACGAGCTCGTTGGCATCTGTCCACCTGGCGGCAATTTATCACCGACAATCACACAAGAACCCCATTTTCTTTGTCAACAAGAAAACAAAACACGTCCATATGCGGCAAACCCGCATGCCATCCCACAAGGGGTGCCTCCAAGGGCATGCATGCCACTGCACTGGACAGCCGCCAAGGGTGCGAGTCACGCTGTCACACTTTGCGCAACACTTCATGGCATCTGCTCAAATTTCTTACTCGCACCATTGCATGCATTATATTTTTCTGAAGCTAGTGTGAGAAGTCGCAAAGCACAACCAAAAAGGAGGACATCATAGCAGGGTACATAAGGTCCTTCGGGAAATGGTGAGATGTTGACAACAACAGAAAAAGGCTTGCATGGCAAGGCTACTGATAAGGTGGGCCATGACGTGAAAATGGACAATAAAAGCGACCGGGGTGGGGCGGGATGTGGAGGGAGAGGGCGAGGGGAAGGAGAAGGTGGGAAAAGGGGGGAAAAGAGGGGAGGAGAAGTTGGGAAGTGAGGTGACCTTTTGATTTCATATGTTCATAACTTCATATCCTTGTCTTCGTACTTGTAGGCCGGCAATGCTGCAATACACTATGGAACATACTTGCGGCGCACCAGTGCACAGTGTGGGGCGGTGCGGTGCGCTGTGCACTGGAATTCCAGCGCCCGCACTGTGCGCTGTACGCAGTGCGGTGCGCAGTGCACAGTGCGCACGCTGTGGAAGATGCGTCAGGTGCGCAAAAAAATATATATATATCGTCACAAATAGAACTGCCCGGTAAACCGTAGGCAGAGAGAGAGAAGAGCAACAAACGAGGGGCTGTGACAAACTGTTTCGTCGGAGTTTCACCGACTCATCAGGAGGCTGAACCCTATATATCGTCACATATATATATCGTCACAAACAGAACTGCCCGGTAAAACCGTAGGTTGTCACATCACTACAAACTAAAAGAGCGCACTTTGCGGAACAAAGAATAAAAGCAAAAAACGGGCACAGTGATAACATGCAAAAATAAAAAGAAAAAGAAAAAACAAGGGCAGATTGAAACCATTAAATTTCTCA